TATGGTAAGGGGCGTAACATTTCCATCATACGCTTGAGGTATTCGGCCAATCACAACGCACTGGATAGCTGGCCAATCAGAGCACACCTCGCTTTTCAGAACGATGAGCTTTGTAAAAAATCTACGCGTTTCAGAAAGGCGGGGCATAGAGGAGAAACAATAATGTACAGTATGTGGAAAATAATGTTTTTTTTAACCTTAAACCGCATAAACACATTTCATTACACCAAATAATGTTCTTTTTAGCAACGTCATATGACCTCTTTAAAATATGAAATTATTTGTGGTTGTATTTCTTTCTACTCAAATGGTTCAGGTGGTGAACACGCTCATGTTATCTTCCTTTCTTTATTTAGCTGTAAAGCACAGAGGAACTTGAACTCATTCTTTGCTATTATTATGGGACTGAACAGTCCCGCCATCAGTCGACTCACTCAGACATGGGAGGTAGGAAAGCACCAACTCCAGTGCACAGAAATATACTACTAAATATTAAGAAGTGGTAGTGTTGCACTTAGATTTCCAACATCAGTCTATATTTATGATGAATTATGTTTTTAGAAGCAAGAAACTAGAGTGTATTGCAAACTGTGCATTGGCTTAAATTCTTCTGTTTTTTTTTTTTTTTATATCTGTCCTCATTTCAGAAAGTCCCTGGGAAGTTCAGGAAGTTGTTCTCTGAGCTGGAGAGCCTGACGGTAAGTGATTGCCTCAACCCAATCTTAAGTTGCCTCCTGCTAGTTCACCTCCTGCTAGAGAATTTTGTGCTTTTTACGGCTCATTAGGATGTAATATATGAAGCCGTAATCATATCAGAGCCTCTGGCCTCCAGGGAGGAAACAGCAGGTGGTGTTACAGAGGAAGAGATTTGAGACAAACCAGATGGTTTCAGTGTAAAATAAAACAAACACACAAATATGTACACATGAATGCTTTTTCATGACCCGCAGGACCCTTCTTTAAATCACAAAGCCTACAGAGATGCCTTCAGGAAGATGAAGTCTCCCAAGATCCCTTTCCTACCTCTGCTTCTGAAAGGTGCAGTAAGCAAATTTATGCCTCTTAACACATGCTATCATCAGATTATTCAAAATTTGCACGTGACACCATGGGTTTGGATTTATGTGGAGGACATGATTGGAGAAGTCCAGCAGAAGTCACCAAAGATAAGTCTGTCATTTTCACAGAGGAAAAAAATGAATAAAAAAATGTATGAAATGCCTAAATGAATCATATATTTAGAAAATAGGGTGGATTTCCATTCTAGCTGACTTGAATGTTCAGTTATGAAGAGTGGGATTTTGGACTAATGAGATTTTGCAGTGAACAGAGCTACCAATCACAACACAGCAGAAATGTCTGGTCATGGCTGGTTTGAACAAAATAATTAGCATTTATCACTAGTTGCTTTGTTGCAATGTATCTGGTTAGGACATGGTGAGGGAGTCTCGAGAGATTTTTTTTCTCTATTCTCTATTGTTTTGCAAATAATGTGTGTACTAAAGTCTAAACAATTTCTATCTGAACAGATATTACCTTCATTCATGAGGGCAACAAAACATTTCTCGACAACCTAGTCAACTTTGACAAACTAGTAAGTGAACAATTAGACCTTATAGATGTATATTTTTTTAATTAAAGAGCTTGTTCACCCAAAAATGAGAATTGTCATCCTTTATTTACCGTCACGTCATTCCAGACCTGCAAAAATAGTAGGTTTTTTTTTTTCAAGGAAGTCATACAAGTTTGGAATGACATGAGGGTGAGTAAACGATGACAGAATTCTCATTTTTGGGCAAACTCTTCCTTTAAGATCATGTCCCATCAAATGAGCAAAACAAGCTAATGTGAATGTATTTTATGTACAGCACATGATAGCAGACACAGTGCGGATTATCAGGCAGTGTCGGACAGATCACATGGGTAAGTGCTCAAATCACACAGATTTATAAATTTTAATATTTCCTACCTTGATGAAGTGTGTAATCTCTGCCCAACTGAACCCAAACTGGGTTGCCAGGTTTTCACAACAAAACCTGCCCAGTTGCTACTCAAAACTAGCCCAATGGCATTTTGAGGGGGGGGGGTCCCCCAGTAAAAATTGCGTTCTGGGGAGTAAAATACACGTTTTTTGGTGAGGTCACATCGCAGGGGCTAAATATCACATTATTGGGGTCGCTTAAACCCACGGACATGAAAAACAACCCGCGGCAACAGTGTTAAAGTAGCCCAATTCCACGGGAAAACGGCGGACTTGGCAACTGTGAACCAAAATGAAGTTGCAAAAAAAATTGCAACCTGTTTCAAACAGGTTTCCCATCTAACCCACAAATTCCCATTGGCCAGATAAACAGATAATCCTGGCACAAACTCGTGCCATTGGTTGAGCCAGTGTTGCTATGGCTAGTTGCTGGTCGGACTGCTCAAACAACCAAAATGTTTTTGATAGCGCCACAATGTTTAGACTTCTCAGAGGAATCAGCCTAGAAATGGTCTCTTCAGAAGTTGTCTCTTCATTTTAAGCCTAGATAGCAGAAAGTGTTAGCTTTTAAAACAATGACCACTTGCACTTAAATTTGAACACATAGACAGACCGTATATTACTGCATAACCCAGATCTCTCTCTACACTCAAAAAATAGTTTTGTCCCAGTTTAGTGGTTTCAAGTACACTGAAAGTCAGTCTCACTACTGCTGTGTTGATTTCTATAGGGTGTAATAATTATCTTTGGCTTTTTGTCCATTAGGAAACATGTTGTCCCAGAAGGACAGCGTGGAAGTGAGAACGTACATCAATTACCTGCACGTCATCGACAATCAACAGACTCTGTTTGAGCTCTCACACAGACTTGAGCCCAGGACATAAAACAACTTGATATATATCCTAAAACCACTACTGAAGACTGGACAGGGTCCTTCCTCTAACTGAAGACTGTGACGAGTAAGTCCTCCACTAGGGGGAGACACAATCACGCCAACCACACAGAACAGATACAGAGTATCGCACAGCCAAAGAAATCTCAGCCAGTTCAACCCACCATGTGAAAGGAACAAAGAAGCTGAATCATGCAAGTAAAAAGCAAGAATTTACTGAACGGTTATAATAGGAAACATTACAGTGATCCAGTATTCTTTAAGTTACAGTACAGAAAGATCATGTTGAGAATTCAGATGTCTTCATACAGCACACTTTCACTCAGTAGTGTAGGGCAGATTTGAGTTATTTTGAGCCAGTTTGCCACTGCAAAATATGTAGCTTCACTAATAAATAAGAGCATGTGCATATATGAGAAATTAATAGGCACATCTTTATTTCTGTGTAGTCCAATTAGTCTGAAATTTGAGCTACATGCGCAAATAACAAAACAATGTGATGCTTTTTTATATCATGGCCAACAATTTGTAGACAATCAGAAAGATATCCCAAGGCAGCACACTGTATTTTAGATGCAGAATTGCTAGTAGAAATTTAGATTAAAGCGACAATTAGTTGAACTTGCATAAACTGTAAGGACATCTTAAAATTATGCATATCTTTGAGGGAAAAAAACTATATCTGTGAAATCTATTTAGCAGACTGTCATAGAAATAATTGGGTTTTAAATTATGGATGTATTTTATTGGAAAAGCCCTACTGAAAATAACTGAGCAATGGTTCTGTAATGGCTTACATGAGATGGTGCTTGAAGAAAGCAAATGTATAGATTTCTTGTATAAGTTGTACTTTGACTTGTGAGACATTGAGATATTTATTAAACAACAAGCTTGTCCCTGACTCAGAAGGGAAGACAAAACACGTTTTAAATACAAAGAAAAGATGTAATGTACTGTAAATGTGATCAGATGGTCTGAAGGATTTGGCAACGCCATTGATTGACCAGTCTGATAATGCCTGTGAGGTTCACATGTGAAATCTGTAAATATGAAGACTTTGTTTTTAATCAATAATGATAAACAGACCATAAAGCAATAGCAAGGTGTACATCTCACCTTCAGAATAACAAATGTCAGCAGTGACTGACTGTAGCTGCTGTTTGCACTAGTTTTCTTCACAAAGAGCCTGACATTAAAGAAAAAATAATAATAACTGACACTGTCTTTTTTTTTCAGGTGCACCCATGCTGTAAAATCCATCTTTTGTTTAATATTTTACTCATTTTTATACAGTATGTTTGAAAATGTTAAACGTAAACTAGACACTTACCGCCACCCAGTGGTTTGTTAACGTTTAAGTGTACATTAGCTCATAGAGACTAACAGGAAATGCCACAAAACTCCCGTTTTGATTCATTGGGTCTACAAATTGTGACTTCCTACTAAACCCCAGACCTCAATATGCATCAGTAATAGTGTGAATATTCTCTGTGACGCACGATTGGCTTACAGTGCGTCTCAGTGTGAACCGAGGATGAACTGTCTAAACAGTTACAGATCCATCCTGTTCTGGGCCATTATTACCTGCTGCGTGGCCGCTGCTGGACTCACTGAGAGGGGAGGAACAGCTCCACAGCTTGTGCTAACCTCTCATTTCCCTCTCCGGGACAGATGTATCATTTTCTTGTCTCCTGACAAAGTCTGCGTCATAGCAAAGAACCACACGGACAATCCCAGACCAACAGCAGATGTTGTGTTTTGTGATTGTGTACTGTGTAGAATTTGATGTTTAACAGTTTACCTTCTGAACACTATTGAACAAAATCACATTTGTTCAGTTCAGCAATATACTGTAGCTAGTTATTAAATCCCATCAAGGGAAACGTGAGGGGAAAAAATGGACATGACCAAGCATGTCATTCAGAGATGATAACAAATTGGTTTCTGTCCCGGACGTGAGATGAATCACACTATCTATCTGTATTCAGCAGGAGAGGAAGGTCAAACACACCTCATCTGAAAATCAGTATCAGCCTGGTTCATAATCTACTGGGAGTCTCATTGTAGTGGCACTAGAGGAGATTGTGTCATTCAGTGAGCACAGAGATGTCTAGAACCAGCTAATAACAACATCAATATTGCAAAGTGTTAATACTTACAATACTTATGCCAATAACGGCAACTTTTCTACGGTATACTGATGTTTCTGTAAAACTAGGGCTGCACGATTTGGTAAAAATATAATTGTGAAAAAAAAAACTGTACTTGTTTGTGGGGCTGGACAATTTGGCCCCATTTTTGAGATTCTACCTCAAAATGACTAAGTAAAAATAATATGTAATGTTTATTTACTAGCTTTTAAATAAAATACTAAAATAAGAAAAAATACTATTGAAATATCTCACTGTGAAATGAAAAAAAAAAATTTAAGAAAAAAAATTATATATATCGTTTTTAAACATTGAATTATCAAGCTTTTTTGTCAGAAAACAGCATTTTATTGCAGTACTGCAAATTTATTTATTTATGATGACAACAGCTGGTCTATAATCATTCATTACAATTTTGGGAAGATGGCTGGTGAATGTTGCGTTTCCAAATACATGAACTACAATGCACAGCAGATGTAGAGATGAAATCATTTACTGTGAACTGAGCCACTCTGAGACACTAAAAACATGGATCATGACAGGTTTGTCTGTTAAAGATGTGCTTCACCTGAAACTCCGCGTATATCTATATTTAATTCAATTGCAGCATTTGCGATTTGATAAGTCATATTATGATTTTGGTTTTATTTCTGATCAATCGTGCAGCCCTGCATCAGACAACATAACATCTTATTTTGCATTTAATACGAAACCAAAAAAATGATGATTCGATCAGCATATAACTTGTAGAAGTCAACCTCTGTGAGCAGAATGGCGTTGGTTGTTTGTTTACACTGACAGAAGCAGTGCTGCTCCGGCCAGAACCCACTTTGCAGGCGGTTGGCGTGTTTTGAGACGGAAGCTCCAGATGTAGGTGGAGCCACGGAGTTTGGTGCGGTACACTGGGCACTCGTAAGTGTTCCTCACATCCTGCTGGTCGATGGGTATCGCGCGTATGTACAGCACTGGCATAGTTGGAGTCAACTCCTTCAGAACAGCCTCTGATAGCAGACCCGAGGAGCTATCCCAGCGAGCGCCTGCAGGAGGAGAGCTGTGTCACATTCATCCACACAAACAGGAAATTCGCATTGGAATAGAGTTTATGCTCACCCTCAATGAAGAGTCCATGAATGTACGCTCCCTCTCGAGGAGGATGGCCATAATCATCCTTGGTTTTCTTGGTGATGTCCACAGACAGGCTCATCCGATCTAAAGGCCACTTGTTTTTTCGAGCTATACTCTGCAGAATCGCTGCAAAGCAGAACACTTTTAAGTACAATGGCAGCAAGTCTTGTTTTGGATGTGTTCATGTGGGCATTTGTCTTACCTGTAAGAAATGATTGAGGACTAAAGAGTCCAGAGATCCAAACCACAGCAGGAAACACAAAGTCTTGAGTCCATGTGTCCAACTCTCGACACTGAGCCAGAACGTCACTGAACCTGCAGGATACGATTATGTAGACCTTATCACTAAAGCCTACAGTGAAACAGTTGAGTGTTGTAGATTTCTTCTGTAATGTGACGTTATTATGAAGGATACTGTACCACAGAGCCAGTGTTTTGGTTGAAGGGTAGGCCAGCCTGCTCCAGCTCTCTGGAACGCTGTCATAGAACAGAGCCGTTTGGAGCTGCTCCATGTCTGAGGAGAGACTCAGTTCACCCTGTAATATCATGTTAGAGAACAGTCATACGGTTCACACCTGCTGTAAAAAATATGTGCATGTATGAGATAGTGAGCAAAGGCAGATTGTAGCTACAGCGCTCTTTACTTTTCACAAAACTTAAATTCAATACTCATCTACAATAATGAAATAATACAAACTTGTTGAATGTTCATTGGTTTCATTAATAATTGTTAATTATATAATTATAACATAATTATTAACAATAATATTATATATTATAACATATATATATTATTAATAATTTGTATTATTTATTACTACTATTAGTAGTAGTAGTAGTATTAATACATATAAAACATGTATAATCAAAACCCATTTACATGTAGGTTTTGTTTCTAAATAATTATCATAATTTATTAAAATGTATTAATATATTGGTAATTATATTCATTTTTTTTAATTAATTTCTATATTATTATTTAATCATTTTAATCTATTTTTTTTTTGTTTAATATATTTATTAGTCCGTGTGGGTACAAAATATAAAACAGTTGGAAAATATATCATTCATGTTTACAGGCACAGGCAGTGAAGTGACAGCAATGTTACTTCCTTTGTGGTTTCTTTTTAAATGGTAAAATCCCTTGAATATAGTTTAAGGAAAATGTATCTCAGCAGAATGTTCTAGATTCTAGGTCCCTCATTTATAAAGTGTGCGTATGCACAGATTTGATTTGATAGAGTGTGCATACGCTCAAATCCACGCCAACGCTCATATTTGTAAAAACTGCCTTTGACGTGGAAAAGTATTTATCGTCACGTCAGGGTCTGAGCAGACGTATGTACTTTTTCTTGTCGGAATGCTGCAGGTTTTTGGAAATGTAAGCTGTTCTTGCAGCTCGCTCTTCTAAATTAAAGGATTTGGACAATGCCTGGTGATCTTTTGTTAATGACATTAATTAGGAATCGTTTACAATGCAGAAAGCTGAAACCATTCAGTTGCGCGCAAGTTCAAGATTAGTTGCGATTCATAGATTTCACATCTGAAAGAGAGGCGTACGTTCATTCTATGAATCACACATACGCATATTTGAGAGATGATCGTAAGATCACGTTTAGGATGGTTTCTGCGCAACCTTTTATAAATGAGGCCCTAGATCAGTATTTTTTGATTAAAAAAAAGTGATAGTAAAGACATATTGTTAGAAAAGATTTCTATTTTGAATATACTGTTCTTTTTTACTTTTTATTAATCAAAGAATCCTGAAAATAGTATCATAGGTTCCACAAAGCAAATATTAAGCAGCAACAACTGTTTCCAACATTGATAATAAATCAGCATATTGATAATAAATCAGAATGATTTCTGAAGGATCATGTGACACTGAAGACTGGAGTAGTGGCGGCTAAAAATGAATCTTTGCCATCTCAGGAATAAATTACATCTTAAAATATATTAAAAAAGGAAAACAGTCATTTTCAATAATTTTGACCCATACAATGTATTTTTGGCTATTGCTACAAATATACCCCAGCGACTTAAGACTGGTCTTGTGGTCCAGGGTCACAATTCAGCTTTGCATCACAGAAATAAAATCTATTTTAAAGTATAATAAAATAGAAAACCGTTTTCAATTGTAATAATATTTCACAATATTACTGTTTTGTCTCTATGTTTGATCAAATAAATGCAGCCTTGATGAGCAAAAGATACTTCTTTAAAAAAACATTACAAATCTTCCTGATCCCAAACTTTTGAACAACGGTGTATATCCATGGAGAAGTATATTAATTCATATTTGACTCATTATAGAGGATACCAAGCAATGGTACCTAATCGATATTCATGAATTATGTCACAATTATTGTCATTAGTATAAAAACTTTTTAAAAATTCAGACATTTCAAGGGGGTTTTCCCCAAACAAAGTTAAGAAATCCATGCAGGTGCAGTATTCAAATACAGCTGGTTCTGAATAATCAGTAATCATCTGTATTGATTGTTTTGTCTCCTACCTTCAGTCCCAGGTCCAGCTCTGTTAATGATCTGTGTATCTCTGCCAGCAGCAGATTCATTCGCTCACACTCCTGCAGGCACACCAGGATGTAGGGGCTCCTCTCGGCTGTTTTAGACATGAGCTCTGCCAGATTATACTCCTCCGGTAACTTCTCCAGCATGTCATCCAGAACACTCTTCACCTGACCAAGGAAAAAGAAAAAAGTGTATCAAAAGTGACTACGTTCTAAATACAGCTTTCTAAAAGAATCCAAAGTTTTCTGCAGCCATATAGGAGAAACATTTTATTAACGTATTCACTAGCAGAAAATGGTAGAAAAGCATTAAAGGGATAGTTCACCCAAAAATGAATATTCTGTTATCATTTACTCACCCTCCACTTGTACCAAACCTGTATGAGTTTCTTTCTTCTGCTGAACACAAAGGATATTTTGAACAATGGTGATAACCAGACAGCTGACAGTAGCCACTGACTTCCATAGTATTTTTTTTCCATACTATGGAAGTCAATGGCTACAACATTCTTCAGAATATTTTCTTTTGTGTTCAACAGCAGAAAGAAAGTCATACAGCTTTGAAAAAACTTGAGGGTTAGTAAATAACATGGATTTTTGGGTGAACTATCCCTTTAATGTACTTGAAAGAAGTCAGTAGCCAATATACTGAATAGTGAATGAATATACTGAATGAATAAATCTTTTGTAATATTATAACAGTCTTTACTTTCACTTTTGATTCATTTTAATGCATCTTTGATATATAATGCAAATAAAAACTATTCAAAATAGTCACTGTTTCCACCAGACAAAAAAAGCTGCACAGCTGTTTTCAACATTGATGATGATGATGACAATAATAATAATGATACATAGTTTTACCTTCTCCTCTGTGCACTGTGATGCTCCTTCTCCTGTTGATGAGTCTCTGGGCTGGAGTTCCAGTAAAGTTTTGAAGAGGGCATCAGACGTGGCCGTCATAAACTCAATCTCAGCATTAGGGTGCATGCTGTAGAGACCAGGGCTTTCCGAGGGCAATCTGTCATCCACGTAGCTGTGATACCCAGTGTGCTCCAGATCAGGAGGAGCTGGAAACCCAGGACACAGGAACAGCTCTCCTTCAAACTGCAGAGAGAGATCATGGAGTAACAGGAAGATGTTTCATAGCTGATGAGAGGACAGTCTTTTGGGATTCATATTGGAGAGGGTGAGCATGGTGGTTAAAGATCTTGTCTGGTAACCAAAAGACAGATTCAAACAGCAAGTCAAGCGACTCAACAGGATTTTAGGTTGCAAATATGATAACTTGGTTTTTTTCTGCACAATATTTTGTCCTGATAAGCATTGTAACATGCTAAACCTTTGAGTATTGTTCAGTAACGGATAAAGGTGTGTGTGGTAATCGATAGCAGGGCTGGTGCTGGAAACTGGGAGAGTAATGCAGCTCTGTGGAAAGGCTAAAGACAAGCTCTGTGATTGATGGCTGCTCATCTTGGGGCCTAATGAGACTCAGTGAGGAAACACTGGGCTGCATGCCTGACCACTGCCTTAATTACCTTGCACAAACACCACTCCAGAAAAGACACACTTAAGATAAGATAAAACGTAAGAACCCTGGCCTGAACACAACAAACATGTCTTCAGTATGTGGGAACAAAAAGACATTTAATACATTCAGCTTCTATTTTGTTATCTGTGCTTATAAACTGTCTCACAAGGAAAATTGTGTCATGCAATGTAGATCCTCACCACTAGAGAGCCCCATAGAGCTGCAGTATTTACATGTACAAACCTGATCTGTTCAAAGGCAGTTGTGTGAGGTCCACAGACAAACTTGTATAGTCTAATTTTAACATGCTGCCTGCAGAACGTGAATGAAGCACTTGAAGAGGCTAGATAAATCGAGATCTCTTTGCAAATCTACATTACCTCTAAAAATCTGCAGACTTTTCCAGATTTCACTCATTTGAAAAGGTAATTCTGACTTTATTTCTCACAATTACTACTTTATGCCTCGCAGTGAGACAAAGTCAACATGACATGAAATTCTGCCCCATCTATTTTGTAAATGCATGTCATTTCTTATTGTGAATGATTCATCCATATGTTTCTTTTTTTTTTTTTTTTTTTTTGTTTAATCAAAAATATCATAACTCGATCTTTAGGTGCAGCAACAAACATCTCTCTGGTAATGTACTGTGTATAGGGCTTATCCAATCATTTAGTTCACTAGTTCACCCAAAAATGAAAATTCTGTCATTAATTACTCACTCTAATGTCGTTCCAAACCCGTAAGACCTTCGTTCATCTTCGCAACACAAATTAAGGTATTTTTGATGAAATCCGAGAGCTTTCTGACCCTCCATAGACAGCAAGTGAACTACCATGTTCAAGGCCCAGAAAGGTAGGAAGGACATCGTTAAAATAGTCCATGATCAGTGGTTCAACCTTAATTTTATGAAGCTACAAAGAATACTTTTTGTGTGCGAAGAAAACAAAAATGACTCAGTCTCTGCCGTCATTCACGAGAGTATCACGACACACGCGTGTGCATTCCGCTGCTTGTGAACTATTTTAACGATGTCCTTACTACTTTTCTGTGCCTTGAACATGGTAGTTGTGTTGCTGTTTATGCAGGGTCAGAAAGCTCTCAGATTTCATCAAAAATATCTTAATTTGTGTCCTGAAGTTGAACGAAGGTCTTATGGGTTTGGAACGACATGAGGGCGAGTAATTAATGACAGAATTTTTATTTTTGGATGAACTATCCCTTTAAATCCTGTCCCTGCAAGCTCACATTAATCTACCTCCACTTTTGAGTGCAATGCCAACATCTCAAAACTACAATACAAAAGAAATGCAAAAGACCTATCTGTTAATATCTCACAATTACACTGATTTCTCGCTGTTGCAATTATTACAAACCGGGCATGTCTATTTAGGTAAATTAATTAAACCCAATTCATTTTATGATTCTAAAGGTTAAAGACTGTATGTTCTTTAATAAAAAAAAAAAGCTATTGTTGGATAAAAATATATCTTGATTGCACAGTATGTCTTTTTTAGCAAGGCTGCAGAGGCCCTCTGGTTGAGAACTACTGGTGTGCATCTCTTAGTTTGTTGAGCCAATGCTCGCGCAACTTAAAATTCTACTTCTGAAACGTTTGTTTTCAGCTGTATGACCTTAAAATGTATATGAATTCTGTCTTGAATCAAAATCAGATGATTTAACAGTGCTTTGATCAACTATGTTTGGTGCGGCGTTGTAGTACATTACAGTGCTCTGAATGTCTTTACCATCTTGGGATTGATGAACTCCTGGAGGTACGTACGGCAGAGCTTCCTGTCCCACTCGTCAGTGATGTGACCTCCGTATATGATCTCTCCGAACAGATAACACAGATCCTCCCACGGTACCTGAGCCACACATATTAACACACCTAAATGTCAAACCTCCAGCACAAACTGATCCCTCAGCGCCCTGCGCTTAATACCCACAGCATTATTTTCAGCCAGGTTGGCAAGTTCTGACAGAGGGAAAAAAATACATGGTGAAAACTGCTAAAAGGGCTAGATGTTGGATGCAGGGATTTTCTCACGAGTATGAGTTGAGGAACTGATGTTGGGTGATGGGAGCATCCTGTAGTGAGTTTATTATTTCAAATGGCTCTACACCAGACAAAAAGAAATTCAGTTCATGTATAATTCAAGCAAAGATCAAGCTCTTCCTGAACTCCTGCTGTGATTGGCTTAAGTCTGGCCTGAGAATAGAGCGAATGATGTGTAATTGTAAAGGAGAGAAGAACAAGGGAGCGTGTGTCTTATAACCGATGACAGACGCTAGAGGTTCACCATCATTTGTACCTGTATTGTTTTGCAAATTGCTTCTTTCATCAGCTCTAATTGCAGTGATCACTTATAAAGCGTTGTAAGGTGTCACGCACAACGCGTGTAATTACATTTAGCATGACGCTTCATTTGCCGCCTAATGAATCCTCAGTGTACGCACATACAGGTTACTGTTTGGTTAACATAATGAAGGACATTCGTTTTTTGAGGGGAGGGGTGAAATCTGGAGCCGCTATAATTGGTTGTAAGTGAAGTAATGCTGCGAGAGGAAAAACATGATTTTTTGGACACAGTGAGATCGTGACTTCGCTTTGTGTGATGAAATTATACAGCAATGTGGGAAAAGTAAACATCCCTAAGAAAAGAAGGAGAAGCCACTGAATATAATCCTTTTCATTTATAATAAATTACTTGCGCCACAGAGCAAGCAGACGAAACACTATAAATGCAGCCATTGCTTTCGGAGGTGGAAGCTGTTTCCACCTCCGAAATTGCATTTCAGAATGACCATAACAACATTTCAGATCATGTGCAACAAGATCAGTCTGCTGGTTAGTCAGGTTATGCCGTCCCATTGCGCAAAGTCACATGACGTTTTTGATGCGCATGGAGGAATTTATTCGGCAAATGCGTTTCCATCTCTCATTATTTCGAATTGACCCTTTTTCGCACAAATCAAAAACTGTGATGTGTGATGTGATACTTCAAAATGTGCATAAAAACAAGGTGATGGAAACATGGCTCCTGTCATTATTGATCAGTTTTATGCATCCTTGCGGATTATCAAAAAATATAATTCACTGATATTATGATGGAATCATTATATTTTATCAGGTTAATGAATGCTGGTCTCTTACTTTAGTATTGGCCTCCAGGTAGTTGTACAGAACACTGGCAGAGATGGTCAGATCTCCATTGTTAAATGGGTATCTGTGGTTCCAACCCTGAGGCCCAAACTTCCTCCTCTCAGTCACACAGGCGTGGAAGTAACACAGTGAGAACACAAGTCCTTTAAACTCCTGCTCTCGAGAACACATTTCCAGAGTGTCCTGTAGAATGGAAATTAAGAGTCAAAAGTGTGGACATCTCATTCTTTTGTCACTTCATTCTACTCATTCTATAGGATTACTAGTTTCCACTCAAAGTAGTTTCGCTTTCACAACGAAACGCACAGCGACTCCACAACTTGGCAGCGGCGGCAACGGCAAGAATTAAAGTTATGCAAATCTTCCCACATCATGACGTAGACATGTGGGGGCGTGTTAGAACGAGCCGTTTTAGGTAGGCGTGGTTGACTCTTAACTTTTATAAAGAATATCTCTTTGGATTTGAGACTTTAGTCTTTGCAACTTTACAGATCTTCTTTATGCACCAAGAGCTTGTAACACTCCAAAGAGAAAGGAAAAATTGAAATCGCATTATATGACCACTTTAATAGTAAGCCGAATAGAATGTCTGACTGGTCCGCATGTGAATTCACTGATTTTGTCTGTGTCAAGTGTGTGAAGACCTGGGTGAAGTTGTCCAGAGCTGCATGTAGGCTGGAGTTCATGCCGGTGGGTGGTTCAGTAGTGAGTTTGAGGGCGTTCTCCAGGATGGTACGAGGGATGAGGTGCTCATGGGAGCTGGAGGACGGTTCTCCACTCATAAACACTCTGTAGTTTGAGTGAGCATCGCTGACTGTGTTCTCCAACAGCTCCTCCAGACGACCCAACCACCGCTCCAGCAGGTGAACATTCTGAAACAGAAATTAAATTTACAAGAACATACATATGTGACCCCAGAGCACAATACCAGTCATAGGGTAATTTTTTTTAAATCTGAAAGCTGAATAATTAAGCTTTCCATTGATGTATGGTTTATTAGGATAGGACAATATTTGGTCGAGATAACTATTTGAAAATCTGGAATCGGAGGGTGCAGAAAAATCTAAATATTGAGAAAACCGCCTTTAAAGTTGTCCAAATTAAGTTCTTAGCAATGCATTTTACTAATCAAAAATTGCGTTTTAATATATTTACGGTAGGAAATTTAGAAAATATATTCATGCAAGATGATCTTTACTTAATATCCTAATGATTTTTGGCATAAAAGAAAAATTTATCATTTTGACCCATACTATGTATTGTTGGCTATTGCTACAAATATACCCGTGCTACTTTTGACTGGTTTTGTGGTCCGGGGTCACGTATCCATATGTATTGGAAGCATTTTTGGCAAAATAGTCCTTTGGAAAACTATTCTGACTTGTCAATTGTGGTATTAAGTGGTCCTATATTTCTAAATAATGACTGCTCTCCAGGGTAACACTTGACATTTATTCTGTTTGTAGTTTTCTAACGTTTTCCATGTTTTGGACACTTTATTGTAGGTTGATTTGGTAAGAAATTAACCAGAAATTTTCTACCTGCAGTATGACCCAATGTCCTTTTTTGGCTGCGGTCTCCAATGCTCTCTCAGCCACAATCTCTTGTCCTTGACCCAAGGATACATTATGGAGGTTCCCCTGGTCTGTGGTAAATCCAAGCTTCAGCCCTAGTTAATAGATATAAGTTTAATACTCTGATTATGTTACAAGTTAGGCTAAGTGTAAAGAGATTCTGTGTTTACCAAGTGTTTCTACATCCTTGATGGGGTTGACTCCAGGAGAAAGGATGAAGAACACCGGTGTAGAGGGATTGCACTCCTCAAAACACTTTTCAAGCTCCATTCGACTGACATCTACATACTTGGAGCCCAAACTGTCCTCAATAAAATTTCTGGTGTAAAAAGACAATTGGTGAAAAAACATTGGTCTTTCAAACCCAGCCACCTCCAGTTGATTTTAAAGTAAAATTTTAGACAGATATCGGTTGTTCTCTGATGGTTCTCTGAAGAATGCTCATTACCGGAGAGCGTAGGTCATCCTGTCAGGCCGAAAGGCTCTGAGAATGATGAGTCTCTGGAGGGTACTCTTATTCTTCCAGTCCTGAGGGAGAAGTTCTCTTTCTGGACACTCTGACTCCACCAGCTTCCTCCAGCGTTTGCCAGAACCTTCCACATCCCTGTCCAGACCCGTGAATGCATCCAGCATGGACAAGCTCTGCAATGAAATGAGGTTTTAGGTTTGGTACTTAGGTGAAAAAAAAAGGATCAATCTTCAAAAATATTTGTATAAAACACTGAACTATTATATTTAATAATAATGATATTAATAGCATATATAATAATAATAATAATGCATATTATCTATCATGCACTTTTCTTAACCCAAAGCGCTACAACAACAAGCATAATAGTATACAACAATAAGCAACACAAAAAATAAACAATATAAAATATACTCAATTAAAGTAAGCAGTTTTAAAATGATGAGTCTTTAAAGATGTATTAAAATCCTCTTAAATTCTTATATCCTCCATATATTTTCTATGAATATTCACATTCTTGTGAAATCTTATTTACTGGAAAAGTTTACCCAAAATTCTAAATTATTTACTTATCCTTCTTTTGAAACCCATATGCTACTTTTAGATTTAAAAAAATTACTTTTTGAGTAGATCTAGATCTAGATTTTAAACTTAGATTTCAAATGTACTTTCCAGAGACCCCAATAGAATTGCAAGGCCAAAACAAACCATTTTTATCAATTTTTTTTTTTTTTTATTAAACAAAACAAAAACAATTGTTTTTAGGGATGTAAAAGTTAATGTTAAAATGATTAGAATCAATTTTAAAATCAATTTTAAATGTTGCATATTCAGACATTTTATATAATACTAATTTTATATATGCAACATTTTAACAATATATTATTTAGATGATATAAATAATGTAAATGAATAAATAAATGATAAAAATCATTTTATTACATTCACAGAACTTGATTTAATTTACAACAAAGTATTACGGTTTCAATCTGCTTTCTTAAGACCATCTAAAATTATTTACTGTAAAAAAAAATTAAAAATACAATTTTATATAGTTTGTTTATACTAGTGCTGGGCAATGATCAATCGTGATTAATCGTTGCCCAGCACTAGTTTATATTATATTTATGTTTAATTTTATATTATTACATTTATACTATAAAATTAATAGCGGTTAAAAAGACAATATATTCTGTCATCTTAATACAAAATAAGAAAACAAGTATTTTCCATTTAATATTTTAATAATCTACAGCAATGACCAAATAAAAGGCATTTCAATTTAGGACAGAACACACTGTCTTTATAATATCAGAGTATAAATGTAGCTGCCTTTATATTTTAGGAAAGGGGTCACATATATTTGGGGGTCCTTCACATTTCAAACACCCCTGGGCTAGACGGGTTGACTTATTTAGAGGTTGAAAAGGTGCTTCAGACTAATCATTTTCTAAATGGCAATGCTAAATGACAACTGAACACATGAAAGAGAGCGATTTCCAGGCACAAGGCAGTTCTTACCCTAATGGCACCCCAGGCCTGTGGAGACAGGAAGCAGACGGGACTGCTCTGACAAACCTCTACCGGAAATCGCAGCAGAAGTTCCAGCTCCTGAGCCTCAATGAAGCCCCTCGTCAGAAGAATCTAAATAAAACACCAGAGGCGCAAAGTAATGAGGACATTAGAGCTCAGGTCTGTTGAATACAGATGTCTCCATCCATCAGAGAAGGACAAGCGGATCTCAGAACAGCTTTACTCTGTTTGATGTGGACGTGTGAAGGACAGGCAGTGGAGACCGACAGCAGCAGGGAAAACAGGTGCTGTCCTGACAGGTATTTGCATTCTGCCACTGTGGCCCACCCTCCTGTCAGAGCTGACCGGTTGAGGGAGAGGGGTGCCCGGGCTGTGAGAGTTAATCAATAGGAACGGACCCGACTCCACTGACAGGGCCTAATGGAACTTAATGTAAGGGCAGAAAAGTGGAGTGATTGATGTGAATGACAAAGTGCAGGAGGAGGAAGGGAGGAGGTGGTGGTGGGTGGATGGGAGGTGTTTCTATTCTGCCGGCGTCCCGTCCCACTCACCTGGAGGGCGGTGTGGGTGAGGAAGGTGAGTCGGTCCCTCTGGAAGAGCCCCTGGCAGGTGTACTGAAGGGCCGAGTGGGTGATGGCCTCAGTGAGAGATAAAACACGCACTGATACGTCTTCATCACCAGGAGCTCTTGCAATGGCTTTGAGGAACACTTTGTTGAAGGCCTTAAATGTAAAATAAAGTTCAGTTGAGCTGAAATAATAGCATTATTTGGAAAAGCAAAGATACAGCATTTCTGCAACTGTCATTGAGATGAATGGCAATGCTAATTGATTGTGCCCAATAGTATATTGGAATTCCTTCCAATGGTGATATGATATCATATTTATATATCTGGGATTATGATGTCGCTGGTTTTTTGTTTTTTTTTAAATAATGAAAGAGTACTTGTACATGTACAATCAAACACAACTTGATTTTATGGTTTTAAAGTAAATTAACATGTTTTATTTAGGCCAAACTATAGTTTAATATGACTGAATCAACCTATATTGTTACAGCAAAAATATTATTTTTTAAATAAACAAGTCAAAAGTTCAAAAGTTTAAGGTCAGTAATTTTTGTTTTCAACAAGGATGCATTAATTGATCAAAAGTAACAGTAAAGATGGTTTGAAATGGTTACAAACCAACTTATATTTCAAATAAATGCTGTTCTTTTGAACTTTTCTATGCATCAAAAATCTGGAAAATTACATTGATAATGAGAATAAACATTTCCAAATCAGCATATTAGAATGATTTCTGAAGGATCATGTGATACTGAAGACTAGAGTAATGGCTGTTGAAATTTCAGCTTTGTCACTGAAATAAATGACATTTTAAAATATATTTAGAAAACAATATTTTACATTGCAATAATATTTCACAATATTACTGTTTTTCTGTGTTTTTTGATCAATTAAATGCAGCTATGGTGAGTATAAGAGACTCAAAACAATAAAAATATAAAAAATCTTACCAACGCCAAACTTTTGAATGGTAATGTAGATACTGTGTAGTAAATACATTTTCACTTTTTCCAGTATAGTGTGTTACCTTGAGGGAGTACTGGTACATGGGGTTAATGTTGTGGAGCTCTTTAATGGTGAAGTAGAGTAAGGCGGCTCTCTCAGCCGCTGGCCGGTAAAGATCTCGCGCATCATTGGTCTTTATCTCGTTCTCTCGAGCTGCAACAGCCTGTGTAAACATCACAACTGTTGAGATATACAATCAGATACTAATTCTTAGAAGAATCATGATTATACACTTTACTATAGCATGCTATTTGGAATGAACGCTGATTTTCTTTTCTTATTTCAGTGTTGTAATTACATTTTCCAGTTTATTGTATTTCCATATTAGTTTTTTTTTAACAAACACACATTGGTTTTGAGTCCATCTTGCATGAACAATGCAAAAAAAAAGATCTGAGCAAGCAACAACAAGATGAGGTAAATGGACAGTTTGGACCATACCTTGTTATGGATGTGTCTGGCTGTATTCTTAGTATATTCTAGCTGTTCCACTAAGGCTGTATCTTGCAGGAAGTTTCCCTCTGCTGCTGACAGTTTGCTCAGCAGCTCATCCTCTAGTCTCTTCAGCTCAATCTGACACAAGTTCTGCTGGGTGCTTAATTCCAACTGAAGCAATCAAAAATAGACATTGTAAGGACAGTTGTCTTATTAAATTACATTTTTGAGATTTAATTTAGTATTAAATAGGACAAATACATAAAACAGTGTAATAAAATTAATAAAAAATGGGGACATTCACAAATATTGCATCGCATGCTTTTATTTATTTATTACAATTTTTATTTTATTTACATTTTTATTTTTTCAGAAATGTTTAAAATAAAAAGTTATGATTCAAGTTTGAAAATCTCCCGTTTATGAAAGATGGAAAAAACTTTCTTTTCTTTCTGGTCTTTTCTTCCTTGCAAAGTTGTAACCATGACCAAAAACGTTCGCACTATTCTAATAAACTTTATTTTATATAGCGCCTTTAAAAGTAGCATCTCAAAGCGCTTTACATACATATAAAAATATGAAGTTAAAAGATACACACAACAGTACAGGCAGTAAAGAACCAACCAAACAATACAAAGCCAATATAATAAAAAAACAAAGTAATCACATAAATCACATAAAAGCTACCCTAAAAAAGTAAGTTTTAAGGGACGATTTAAAAACACTAAGGGATTCTACATTCCTAATCTCAGAGGGCAGGGAATTCCACAATTTAAGAGCCAAAGAAGAGAAAGCCTGATCACCCATAGTTTTTAGCCGAGTTGTTTGAACAGTTAAAAGACCAGCTTCAGAAGAGCATAGAACATGTGTAGGGGCGTAGGGGGTTAAAAGCTCCCACAAACATTGAGGAGCCAAATTATTCAAGTCCTTATAAGTGAGCATGAGAATTTTAAAATCAATACGAAAACTAACAGGAAGCCAGTGACATTTTTTCCAAGATAGGTGTGATGTGCTCCCTTGCACTGGTCCTAGTCAGAATTCTAGCAGCTGAATTTTGTACCAAGTTCCAACTGTAATTCACTTAGGGTAGCTTTTGAAACTGCAGCCAGCAAAGCATTACAATAATCAATACGTGAAAAAACAAAAGTGTTGATTAATTTTTCAGCCACAGAAAAAGTCAACATGGGACGTAACTTGGCAATGTTTCTGAGATGAAAAAAAGATGCTTTGACTGTATTACGAACATGCGGATCAAATTGGCGTCAAATATCACCCCCAGATTTTTTAGTTTAGTTTGAAACTGTAAAGCAGAGCCATCCACACTTAAGGTTACGGACTCTGCTTTGTGCAACTGGTGAGGTGAACCAATAAGCATCACTTCAGTCTTGTCATTACTCCTGATTTCTCTCAACATGGCAACACCAGAGCTGTCAGTCAATACATGGAAACAAAGTAACCGGAGTTACTTATTTGAAAAAGTAACTCAGATATTTCCTTCTAAATGAACAAGTAATGCATTACTTTACTAGTTACTTAAAAAAGTAATCTGATTATGTAACTCGCATTACTTGTAATGAGTTACCCCAACACTGCTGGGGAACACCAGAGTGCACCACACCGACCTCAGACCTGCAACCACCCATCACAACAAACTGCTTGCGATCAGAGGTAGGACTTAAAAATGTTTTTATTGCCTTTGGGAAATGCAAATCTAATTTATTTAGCTCTTTATATAATGTGAGATCATTATGAGAAGCGTCTGTAACTGACCTTCATCGTCTCCAGCTCAGGCCTTTCATACGTGACCACCTCGCCAAGTAGCTGCTCCTCCAGGCCAGCGCGGGTCACTGTGAAGTTTATAAGTGTGGTCTGGGCCTGCAGCTCCGGGGGGAAGTGAGGGTTGGCTTGCTTAGTGTGCAGCAGGAGACGGAAACCGCTGTTATACTCACACTCCTTATCACCCAGTCTGATGTACCTGTAGAAACACCACACTGTGTTATGAATTCAGAATGTGACTACACTAAATGATACTAAACAGCGCTCTGTGAAAAAAGCTTGCCATTTACGCAAAGAGCCGGAAAGCGCATTCCACCCGTACTAGACACCAGTTTCACCAACATATCTAATTGAAGCAAACAGAAAAGCATGACTAATGCTCCCAATAGCCACCACAGGCAAAGGCGTTAAATAAAACTGGAAGATGATATTCCCAGCAGCCAATATTTATCCCAATCTGCATTTCAATTAAATCAAGGCTGGCTGGCCAAAGTGGCGGCTTTTAATTTTTCCCTAATTACCCTGTGCCTGTCAGCCAGCGGCAACAACTCTCATGCCAAAGGTTTCGCCAAGGCCCGGGTCCGCTCCGGCTCTATTTCTTCAAAAGATGGAATTAATGTACTATTGATAGAACCATTACTTCACCAAATTAAAGTCCCAGCTGATGGATTGGCTCATGCTCCTCCGTCAGACATGAAAGGAATAATTAGTATTCATTACTTCACACTCTGCAACATTCCAATTATTAATGAACTTCAGCCGAGAAACCGCACCAGATCCATCATGGCTGCCGTGGCCGGGCCGGATTAATCACAGGAACGGACCGGTGCGTGGGTCAGGTGCTGGAATAAACTTGTAATCAAATTAAACATCGGGCCACAGTTATGGGTCAAAAGAGGGGGAATGTAGGTGTCCCCATGGTACAATGCTACAAGGACAAAAGACTAGAAAGAGATAAATAAGAGCTGAGAAATTAATAACTCCGCACGCTGGAAAAACAAGAATAACAGATGAGGCGTTGCATCTATTCACACATCCTAGAAATACCTGATAAACACTGATTATTTTAATTATTCTGTTGAAGAATATAAATGTGAAGTTAACAATAGCTTCTACTATTCATGTACACTTTATCAAGCAACCCAAATGCATAGACATTCATTGAGAAATCTGAAAATGTTTACTCATTCAGTAAAATTGAGGCATTACTGATTTATAAATATTTTAGACTACGATCTCTCTAGTGACAAACTGGTTTAGCTCAACTTTGTTCAGATTGAGAGAAAACTGAGTGTAAATAAAATATTTTTAATCAAAGTTCATTAAAAATAATAGGTTTTTGGTAACAGTGTTGGCATAGTTTTTTTCCGCTTTTGTAGTATAAAACAAGAAAACAAAAACCAAATAATTATATTATATAGATATCATTTAGTTTTCTAGTTAGTTTTCATTCAGATTCAAAAACAAAAACCTACAAAAAAAACAGAACAAAGACCCCATATTATTGTCTGTACTGTAAAAAAAGAAAAAAAAAACTGAGATTAAATAATCTAACTGATTAAAAAAAATAATATAATTTAATATATTTTGGGGAAAAAACTAATATATATATATATATTAGTATATTGTTGTCTCAGGGTTAAAACACAACACTGGCTGCCCAAAACTGATCCGTATTCAACACACATAAAGAAAAAGAGCAAACAAATGCACATTTATCAGCTTCTGTGAGTGCAGAATCAATACCGCTGCCTTCACCTCTATTCAAATCACACAACCCTAATTCATCTTCCATTCTAGTTCTCATACTGAAAACTGAGCACAAAATGGGGCTCTTAAGAGCTCAGTAAAGATTGTATGCTAAAATATGCTGCATTTTTCTGAGCAATTTTTACTGCAATACACTCAATGAGAGAATCAGTGGTATAAAATAAGTAAAAATCACGGAGATGGTTAAACCTGCCTTCCTTTCTTTAAGGTTTGCCTTCCTAGCAGTGGCTCCAGAAGAGGGTCCACTCTCTCCTTCATGTTTTCAATCAGGACCACCTCACCAGCAGCCAAAGCCTGCTCAATAACATCCAGATACCTGTATGATAACATTAACAGTCCAGGACAAGACAAGTCAGCCTCATTGACTTCTTTATATTATTTCATATAAATAATCTTTGTCCAAACTAAAATCACTTCACCCTTTCTGGCCATACTGCAGCACCCTCAGGTTGGGCCCGTACAGATTTCGGATCCACTTGGTGGCCTGCTGCTGAGGATCCACGATCAGAGGCCAGCACTGGCTGGCCATCAGGATGGCTGCATTTTCAATGGACAGCCGATCAGCTGGCAGGCCCTGGTTCTGCCAGCCTGCCACGGTGGCCTGGTCAGTCAGCGTAAGTACAGGGTCCAGACCGTCTGTCAGCGGGATAGGGGTCTGGATCGCGAGGTGTGAGGAGAGGAAGACAGGCAGTGATGCTATTCAATTCAACGCTCCACTGGAGTGCAGACACAGTAGTACAGTAACAGGATTTTACAGTAGACAGCTCAGGAAGAAACAATGATCCAAAACACTCTTAACCTTGACAACTGAAACAAGAGTTGGCAAAAGCCGTAACATGAAATTTAACATCAAATTTATATTAAATAAAATATTCATGTGGCTAAGAATTACATAAATGCAAAACACTATATAAATCAAATAATGGACAGGCTGAGCAGGAATCATACTTGGAGTTCTCGGAGGAAAGGAATGAGTATGTCGTGAAGGAGTTGGTGACGATACGGCTGTGTGAAGTATCCAGCGTAAGAGACGAAAGCAGCAGCCACAAGCACATCACCACACACAGTCTTCAGCTGAGACTCCAGCTCCAGCTGTCCCTCCGACCAACGCACGTTTTCTGCCTACAGTGAGAAAATGTCTGGGTGAATCTAACTTAAAGGGGTCATATGATGCGATTTCAAGTTTTCCTTTCTCTTTGGAGTGTTACAAGCTCTTGGTGCATAAAGAAGATCTGTAAAGTTGCAAAGACTAAAGTCTCAAATCCAAAGAGATAATCTTTATAAAAGTTAAGAGTCAACCACGCCTACCTAAAACAGCTCGTTCCAACACACCCCCACATGTCTACGTTCCACGTCTATGTGGAAATATTAGCATAATGCCGCCCAAATGTGCACGCAGATATACTACTATAGTTTTATTAGCATTTTGAAATATATTTTTGGTTTTCATTTTAATACCAGTTAAAATTTTGTGACCAGTGTTTTTTTATGTCTATGTAGTTTTTTATTCATTTTTATTTCAGTTTAGTTTTAGTTATTTCATTAATAAATTAAAATGACCACTAGCTAAAAGATTTTTATTATTTTTATTTTTTATTTTTGTAGTTATATATATATATACAGTATATATATAAATATATATATATATATATATTATATTTTGTATATTTTATATTTATATTTTTGAACATTACAATAATTTTATTTCAATATAAAAAAGGCAGTTTGACAAATAAAATCATGATGTATAAATACTTACCTTTTTTTGCATTACAGTAATGAGAATAAGAATTTTTGCTTTTCCATCATTACATTTCTAAATTTAATCATGAAAATAAAGTAATGTCACAATGTAAAATATCACCACCAGTCAGTAAAATATCATTTTTTTATGAAAGAAATTAATACTTTTATTCTGCAAGAATGCATTAAATTGAGCAAATCTTAAAGAGGATGCCCATTTTCCACAAGTTGATATGATACTTTAGGGTCTTAATGAAAAGTCTATAACATACTTTGGCTAAAATTTCTCAATGGTAGTGTAAAACAACTAGGGGTGCTCCGATCAGGATTTTTGAGGCCGATCACCGATCGCCGATCACAGAAAGCAGTATCTGCTGGTGCTTCCGCCATGTTGTGGAGACGCTGTGTGTTTCGTTGTGAAAGCTGTGTGTTTCGTCATGCCTAGAGCTGATCCGTGCTGGTCGCTGAGGAAATACATTAACTTCACGCTGTGGATCGCCGGATCGGCTTTCACCATGGATGAAGCGGAGTCCAGGACGAAGCGGTTGTCACATGTGGTGGCCGCAAGCCCGCCGGCCTCCGCTCACTCTAGCCCGCTGTGTGTCACACATTTAGGTAGATTGGGGGGTGCATTCCCTTCAAAAACAAAAGTAATCCACTGCGTCTTCAGCGGCTCAGATGTCGGGAGTAAATGACGACTGCTATGTTCATTATTACATCCAACAAAAAAACACCTCAATCGCTTACAAGACATTCATGTCTACACCTGCTCTGGCGTCTAAACAATGGCGGACTGTTCACAGCTCACTCAGGGCGGGTCTTTGCTGAAACGCCAGTGTCAATCAGCTATCGTGGGAGGGGCCTGCCAGTGTGACATCACACAGACAGGAATGATTTTAGGTTGTGTACACACTGCCAAGACACCAGTTCAAACAACATGTAAAAGTGAATTTTGCATCCGATGACCCCTTTAAAGAACTTTCTATTCATAAAAGAAATATGAAGAATATCACAGTTTCTACAAATATATTAGGCAACACAGTTGAGTATTTTGTGTATTAATAATAGTAAAAAATGTTTATTGAGTACCAAATCAGATTTTTCAAAGATCACATGACACTGAAGACTGGAGTAATGGCTGCTTGAAATTCAACTTTTTCTATCAGGAATAAACTATATTTTAAAATAGAAAACAGTTATTTTAAACTGTAATAATATTTCACAATATTTGTGTTTTTACTGTATTTGTGATCAAATAAATGCAGCCTTGGTGAGCATTAGAGACTTCAAAAACATTAAAAAAACTTATCAACCCTAAGTATTAAACGGTAGTGTACATTTATATGCAAATACGACACAGTAATATTCAGACAAAACGACTGAGACAGAAAGAGAAGAAACACTTAAAGTTATGCCTTCAGACCCAGATATAAACCTCACTCTTAACCCATCCGCTGTCTCTCTCCTCCCAATTGATCATAAACACAGACAGAACATGAGCGATAATGTATACAGTCACAATTCACCTAAACTGGCTTTGAAAGTTTAGTTACATTTTCACTCAGCATCAATTTAGCACTCATTTAAGACTTCAATAATATCGCAGAGATGCTCCCGCAACGATAAATCTTGTCTGACATCGCCTTTGCAGGGGCCGAGCTTCTAGAACATGTCGCATAATAAATTCTCAGACAGTTAAAAATCACTATCATTTTTGCCTAATGCATTATGGATTGCTTGGAATATCACTCAGTCCTGGGTGAAGCGTTTTTAATTTCCAACAGCTGTTAAGGCTTTGAGGTAAGTTAATGGTTACATATAGACGGCCTGATTTATTAGTCTAAACACTATTGCTTCCAGGTCAATGGCATAAAGACAAATCATTTGTCTTGATATTTTTAAAAGCCAAGCTGTCCCATTGTAGCCCTATTCATTTCTCCGAATAAGAAAGTCGAACATTTTAAATAAAAGCGCTAAAAGAAACATTACGCTATTATTATTTTTTGCATTAACGGCGGTAAAGATTTTAGATAATCTCACCGGGATATATATGACCAATGTCACGGGGACTGAAAAAGGGAAAACTATTTAAAGTTTATTTTTTCAAGTTGGGCATGTGCACACAAATCCAGCTCATCCCTCATAAACCAATTACCCTGATCGCCTCATTCAGGAAAACAGATAGCAGATGAATATATGCCCTTCTTGTTTCGCTGTCCTGAACTGGCCTACAGCCATCTAGCCCCTTGCCCAGATCAATGGTGCATTTGCCGTGGTGCGCCCCTTCCTTCCGAGCGCTCAATCTGAGCGTCTGGCCAAACATTTAAGCCATGGCCACCTCCCCTTCGAATCAAGCCAAACTCATGTTGAGATTAGGTCTGTTAGTGCGCTTCCCTAAACTCAGACCCTCTCCTCTCACAGCCGCCCAGTACCTGCAGGCCTCCCACCAGCCGATTGGCCAGCTCAATGGTCTGGCTGGTGCGTGTCACTTCCTCCTGGCAGCGCAGTTTCTCAGCCGCCGCCCTCTCAAACTGAGCTGTTAGGCTTTGCAGGTGCCTGTCCAGATCCTGTCAGTACAAAGCCACTATGAGATAGTACTACTTTATATCTTAATATGGAATATTATTGAATGGTTATGGTGAACAGATGGAATTTTTTTTTAATCGTGCTGTATTTGTGTTTCACTTACTTCCAGTTTCTTTCTAACACTGAGTAGTTTTGCAGTAGCAGTTTCCAGTTCAGTATTGGCTTGTGCCAGAGCCAGACGCTTTGGTGCAACCTCACAATAAACCTGAAAAACACAACAAACATTCTCTTTCTTTACACATAAAATAAAAAGATGAATTCTTGAAATAAATGATTGTTTTGATTTTAAAGCTACAAACCTCTTTGACTTAAAGAAAGTTACAGCTTAATATTTTCAAAACATTTCACATGCATTTTTTAAGTTAGATGTAATATTTAGCGTTTTTATTTATTAATGTTATTAAAGTTTAATTGGCGTTAATAAAATAAATGTAAATAAAAATTTAAATACAATTTAAATTCCATTCAAATTTCAAATATAAACAAAAATCAAATTAAAATAAATAAATGAAAATAAATTCTTGAAATAAGTGATTGTTTGTCATTTTAAAGCTGAAAGGTTTAAGAACTTAAAGAAAGGTAGTGGTTAACATTTTCAAAATATGTCCCAAAGATATTTTTCATTATTTTTATAATTCTTTATTAGAAAGTTAGATTTTTCTTAAACATGTAATTTTAACAAATTTTTAAAATGTTATAAAAATGTATTTATAAAACGGAAAGTTCCGGTCCTTGATCCCGATTGGTCGAGCCACGTTCGAAACTGTTGTAAATTACACTACAAACATGCACCTTTGTTTACTTCTGTGTGTTGCTCGGTACCAAATCAGATTTTTCAAAGATCACATGACACTGAAGACTGGAGTAATGGCTGCTTGAAATTCAACTTTTTCTATCAGGAATAAACTATATTTTAAAATAGAAAACAGTTATTTTAAACTGTAATAATATTTCACAATATTTGTGTTTTTACTGTATTTGTGATCAAATAAATGCAGCCTTGGTGAGCATTAGAGACTTCAAAAACATTAAAAAAACTTATCAACCCTAAGTATTAAACGGTAGTGTACATTTATATGCAAATACGACACAGTAATATTCAGACAAAACGACTGAGACAGAAAGAGAAGAAACACTTAAAGTTATGCCTTCAGACCCAGATATAAACCTCACTCTTAACCCATCCGCTGTCTCTCTCCTCCCAATTGATCATAAACACAGACAGAACATGAGCGATAATGTATACAGTCACAATTCACCTAAACTGGCTTTGAAAGTTTAGTTACATTTTCACTCAGCATCAATTTAGCACTCATTTAAGACTTCAATAATATCGCAGAGATGCTCCCGCAACGATAAATCTTGTCTGACATCGCCTTTGCAGGGGCCGAGCTTCTAGAACATGTCGCATAATAAATTCTCAGACAGTTAAAAATCACTATCATTTTTGCCTAATGCATTATGGATTGCTTGGAATATCACTCAGTCCTGGGTGAAGCGTTTTTAATTTCCAACAGCTGTTAAGGCTTTGAGGTAAGTTAATGGTTACATATAGACGGCCTGATTTATTAGTCTAAACACTATTGCTTCCAGGTCAATGGCATAAAGACAAATCATTTGTCTTGATATTTTTAAAAGCCAAGCTGTCCCATTGTAGCCCTATTCATTTCTCCGAATAAGAAAGTCGAACATTTTAAATAAAAGCGCTAAAAGAAACATTACGCTATTATTATTTTTTGCATTAACGGCGGTAAAGATTTTAGATAATCTCACCGGGATATATATGACCAATGTCACGGGGACTGAAAAAGGGAAAACTATTTAAAGTTTATTTTTTCAAGTTGGGCATGTGCACACAAATCCAGCTCATCCCTCATAAACCAATTACCCTGATCGCCTCATTCAGGAAAACAGATAGCAGATGAATATATGCCCTTCTTGTTTCGCTGTCCTGAACTGGCCTACAGCCATCTAGCCCCTTGCCCAGATCAATGGTGCATTTGCCGTGGTGCGCCCCTTCCTTCCGAGCGCTCAATCTGAGCGTCTGGCCAAACATTTAAGCCATGGCCACCTCCCCTTCGAATCAAGCCAAACTCATGTTGAGATTAGGTCTGTTAGTGCGCTTCCCTAAACTCAGACCCTCTCCTCTCACAGCCGCCCAGTACCTGCAGGCCTCCCACCAGCCGATTGGCCAGCTCAATGGTCTGGCTGGTGCGTGTCACTTCCTCCTGGCAGCGCAGTTTCTCAGCCGCCGCCCTCTCAAACTGAGCTGTTAGGCTTTGCAGGTGCCTGTCCAGATCCTGTCAGTACAAAGCCACTATGAGATAGTACTACTTTATATCTTAATATGGAATATTATTGAATGGTTATGGTGAACAGATGGAATTTTTTTTTAATCGTGCTGTATTTGTGTTTCACTTACTTCCAGTTTCTTTCTAACACTGAGTAGTTTTGCAGTAGCAGTTTCCAGTTCAGTATTGGCTTGTGCCAGAGCCAGACGCTTTGGTGCAACCTCACAATAAACCTGAAAAACACAACAAACATTCTCTTTCTTTACACATAAAATAAAAAGATGAATTCTTGAAATAAATGATTGTTTTGATTTTAAAGCTACAAACCTCTTTGACTTAAAGAAAGTTACAGCTTAATATTTTCAAAACATTTCACATGCATTTTTTAAGTTAGATGTAATATTTAGCGTTTTTATTTATTAATGTTATTAAAGTTTAATTGGCGTTAATAAAATAAATGTAAATAAAAATTTAAATACAATTTAAATTCCATTCAAATTTCAAATATAAACAAAAATCAAATTAAAATAAATAAATGAAAATAAATTCTTGAAATAAGTGATTGTTTGTCATTTTAAAGCTGAAAGGTTTAAGAACTTAAAGAAAGGTAGTGGTTAACATTTTCAAAATATGTCCCAAAGATATTTTTCATTATTTTTATAATTCTTTATTAGAAAGTTAGATTTTTCTTAAACATGTAATTTTAACAAATTTTTAAAATGTTATAAAAATGTATTTATAAAACGGAAAGTTCCGGTCCTTGATCCCGATTGGTCGAGCCACGTTCGAAACTGTTGTAAATTACACTACAAACATGCACCTTTGTTTACTTCTGTGTGTTGCTCGGCAACCACTTTGTTGGAACCACAACTGTTTCTGGGGAACTACATTGTTTGGTGGAAGAATATTGTTTTTATTTATATCATTACACTTTATTTGCTCCGTTTTATTCTGTGAAACCTTACTACGTATATGGAATAACCGTTTTATAAAAGCAATAAACCGCTTGAAGCCGTGGTTTACAGTGAATTTATAACAGCTAAGGGGGTTTTAGGCACTCCGCTTCACATCGTGCCTAACAACACCCCTTAGCTGTAACAAATTCACTGTAAACCACGGCTTCTTGGGGCTTATTGCTTTAAGAATATATTATTAATTGAATTTAAATACCTCAAACCGCATTATATACGCATATATATGCATTATATTATATTAATATTTCAAATACTTTTATGTGTTTTTTGTCTCATTCGTCACATTCTCCCTCACCTCATAGTAGCGCACTATGTTGATGGCCCACGCACAGAGGCCAGCAGCTGCGTAGGACTTGGTCCGGACGTGATCGGGATGGAACTCTGGGTTTCTCAGGTATTCCTGCTTCAGCACACTCAGACTGGACTCAAGGATGTGCTCTTTATCATAAGTAAGCAGGGCCTGCAGAAAGTCATCCACCTAAAGAACAACAGTGTTATTATATCATATGTACATAAGCCTATGATGTTTGCCTTTATTAAAAATGTACAAAATATTGTAGAAGCATAAAATACACTACCATTCAAACGTTTGGGGTCGGTAAGGTTTCTTTAACGGTTTTGAAAGAAATCTCTTATGCTCGCCAAGGCTGCATTTAATTGATCAAAAATACAGTAAATAATACTGTGAACAATATGATATAACTATATATTGTGAAATATGATTAATCATTATTAATATTAATAATATATTAATAGTTTTAAACGCCATTTTTAATTTGAATATATTTAACATTTATTCCTTTACTCCAGTCTTCAGTGTCACATGATTCTTCAGAAATCATTTTAATATGTAAATTTGGTGCTCAGGAAACATACTGTCATTAATATCAATGTTGAAAACAGCATTTTTTTTCTAGGATTCTTTGGTGAATAGAAAGTAAAAAAAAAGCATTTATTTAAAAAAATTATTATATTTTTTATTTTTTGGAAAGAAGTTACAGCAATTAATAATTGTATTCAGCAAGGACACATTAAATGTACCAAAAGTGACAATAGAGACATTTATAATGCTACAAAGGCTTAATATCTTATTACTTTTGCTGTTTAATATTACTGTTTTTGCAGTATTTTGGAGCAAATGAATGCAGCCTTGGTGATTAAATTAAATTTTTTTATATATTTGTTAAGTATTCTTTTATGAATATATAAAGTTTCAAAGAACAGCATTTATTTTACAATATAAATATTTTTAACATTATAAACGTCTTTACTGTCAATTTTGATCCATTTAATGTGTCCTTGCTGAATAAATGTATTCATAAAAAAAAAAAAAATCTTCCTGACCCCAATATTTTGAACTGTAGAGTAGACATTTCAGTGCATTTAGGAACAAAAATGCAAAACTAGTTTAGAGAAAAAATTATAATTTAGAGGAAACTAATATTATTAGCTTATTATTAGACATTATTAGCTATGATGCTTTATTATGTGCACACAAAATGTTAAGTACATACTAAATTGCACACATTTTATTCATAGCAGCTTAAAGTACAGTAAATGTACAAATGCTGGACCTGGAACAACCCACGAAGTAATAAAGCACAATTATGACCTTTTGCGTTCCTGGGTCATCACTACTTTAGGACTCAACTTGCAACCTCTGAATTTGCATCCCAATTCTTTATCCATTCGATATATCACACAACAAACTTTCAAAAGCCATCTCCTCCCCTTCATCTTGACCTCATAAATCAGCCTTTCCCTAATATTTCCATGTCTATCTCATGTGACATGTATTTAATATTCTCTTCCACACAAGTGCTTTCATAATGTAGTGTATTCATGACACTACACCGGGTTAGTGGGGTCTGCGGGTCAAGGGCTGCTTGTGGATTACACTAGAATGAGGCGTGTTGTTGTCATAGCAATGCCTTTACCTTGCCCATAAAGACTCTGGCGGCCTTCCACCCGCGGTCTCTTGGAATTCGCCCACATGGCGCCAGCAGCACCATCACAGCCGCGGTGACGTTAATCACAGCCTCGGGAGGATTCGGGAACGTCTTTAACTCTGTCAGATTTACCTACAAGAAACAAAGGAGAAAGAAAAAAAGATCTTTCATGAACTGCTAATTGAGTAATTGTTACCCTTTCAACCATCAAGCTCAGGTGACACAAATATTTGAACAGGTTGGGCTGTGATTTATGGAGCACGGGACAAAATATTTCCCACAAATTTGCCTGCCATTACTTTTTAAAATAGCAACATTTCCACTTTGAAACACAAAGGTACTTTTCCATTTCATTTTATTCTTATTTTATTGAAATATATCTGCGATATGTTCCTTAAGATATCGCTCACTACTGCTAAAATTACCAGTTATCAGACCATAACTCAATATTCTGCAAAAATTACAAATGTATATTACACTTTACAGAAATACAATTATGTCGTATAAAGAAACATTATTGCTGTCCTGACAGATGTTAATTTTAAAATATGCCTCTTTTAAACTTTCATAGGTTCATCCCTGCTTGTTAACACCATCATATATTTATAAATAATTAGGTAATATCAAAGACAGCTGGCCTGCATCACACAATTTATATACATACTGTATATATATATATATATATAAAGTGCTAAGGTTAAACTTTGAGAGTGGAGAAGAATGCTGGAAAAATGCAAGGAAATGAAAACATTGCCAGTTCTGGTTGAATAAGACCAGTCTAGTGTCACGGTCGTGTCGAGGAAGGCACACGAAGATGAAGATAAACTCAACAAGCAGTTTAATAGTATCCAGGAAGAAGATAATCCACATAGATGAGGAGGTGATACACACCAATTCAAACGTAATACCGGACAAAGACTAGAACCAAAGAGTGAGCTTAAATAAGGCAGGCAAGCTGATGACAAACAGGTGATGGGAATTAACTAATGAGCACTAATGAAACAATGAACTAAATGAGGGCACAGAAGAACTAAACAGACCAGGGGCCTCATGTATAAAACTTCACGTAGATTTCATCCTAAATGTGTGCGTACGCACAAAAGCTGGATTTTGCGTACGTACAAAATTTTTCAGATTTATAAATTCATGCATACGCCAGAACCTGAGAAAAATTCCCTTTGTAATACCCAGTCAGCAGAAGATTGTGCGTACATGAATCTCCACCCAGTCTCCTCCCCGAAATAGCCATATATGGAGCTTACACCGCCTAGTTTTACTATGCATAACGTCATCTGCATATCATATGTATATTCCATCCATGTGACACCATGTTTAACGCAGTTAAGGGTACAATACGTTAGGAAAATAGGAGATACGGACTATCCCCCGGTTTCACAGACAAGGCTTAAGCCAATCACAACGCACTGGATAGATGGCCAATCAGAGCACACCTCGCCTTTTTCAGACCGATGAGCTTTGTAAAAATCGACGCGTTTCAGCAGAAACATTTTTTTTTTATTTTTTTTTAGAGGAGGAACAATAATGTACAGTATGTGGAAAATAATGTGTTTTTTGAACCTTAAACCGCATAAACACATTTCATTACACCAAATACACAAAATAATGTTCTTTTTAGCAACATCATATGTCCCCTTTAAGATGCACACCAGTAATGCTTTTTTCTAAGGCATGTTTATAAAAATTACTTAAATGTCCTAACTGGACTATGGCCTAATCCTGGCTTAGGCTAAGACCTGTCTATGAAACCAGGCCTAAAAATGCTTTTTTGAGACATCACATTGCTATTCAGTGTCCTTGAAAATACATTTCAGAGAAAGTTTTCAGAGTTGTTCTCATTCTTTTCCACTGGCCAAATAGTATTTTAAATAGTTTTAAACAAATCAAATGTATGCAATTTTGCCTATAAGGTAAACACATATTTTAGAATAGTTTTTAATGGAAACAGATAGGCCTTATTTTTTTGCAGTGTAAATAACTGTCTGACTCACCGCGTCAATAACAAAACATTTTGAAAATAAAACGAGCATATCTTACAGTTTCCTTCAAATTCTATCTTTTAAATCCATTGGTGTTTGTCACAATATTGGGAAGAGCATGAAAGGGTTTATCATTAGGCTACTGTCTGTGCGCGAGCTGTGAACTGTGAACTGTGAACAGAGGTTCTACTGTCATCGGACCTGTTCAAACCAGCCAATGGACTGTTTGATCAACGAGCGCATCCTTATGTCTGTCATTACAGTCTATGTTCCAAAGTCGTCAGACTTCGTCAAGTTCACATCAATAATCATCATTCGTGCAAAAATATTTTCTCAGAACATGAGTTTAGCTATTTACAACACAATTTAAAGCGGAATTGTCAAGCGCCAAGCAATCCTCGCTGTGATTAAAACATTAAAACACAGCATACCAAAGGAAATTGTTCGAAAGCAGCACATCCACTACAAATATTTATGTTTAAATTCATATAAAAATGTCTATGTTTAAATATTTTAAAATGACATTTGTGTGATGTCAAAACTGAATTTTCAGCAGCTATTACTCCAGTTTTCAGTGTCACACGATATGTGCTGCTTAATTTTGTAGAAACCATGCTACTTTTTTTATCCTTTGATTAATAGAAAGTTCACAAGAATTTTCTTTGGAATGGAGATTATCTGTAACATTACAAATGAATTTACTGTCACTTTCAATCTATTTAATGCATCTTTGCTGAATAAAAGAAAAACTTTTGAACGGTAATATATGTATATATTTAAACAAATATTTTTCTCCCTAATTTTAAGGGTTTCTTTAGTACATTTTAAATATTACCTTGTTGAGAGTTTGCAGAGCAGCTGTAGCCGCCTCTAAAGCAGGTTCAGCTTTAGCCAGATCACGTTCACAATCTCTCAGTCTTCGTGACACCTCTGCTTGCATGGCAGCCACCTGCAGATGAATAAACACTCTCATACGTGATGGGGAAATATTAAAGCACCATGTTGAAATTCAGTAAAGATACATCTCAGATCTTCCAGCTGTAAGACTTTGGTTGCTCTACCTTTTGCTCCTCTAGGTCAGCATCCTTTCTCTTCTGGCTCAATCTTTCTGTCTGCAGGCCGATCCTGGCCATGAGAGCCTCAGTTGCCTGGTTCTTCAGTGTCAGCTCCACTTCCTGTGAGTTCAGCTTGACTGTCAGATCATCAACCTGATGTAAATATAGAATGTTGACATTTAGTATATGATAACCTCTTATTAATTCATAATTACCTTCAATAATTGATTATTAAAACTGGCAACAGTTTCTGTTTCTACTCAACTGTACAATACCATTCTATTTTATTTATTTATTAATCTTATTTATTTATTTATTTTGGAGATAGTAATATATGTATTATGCAAGGATGCATTCATTTGATTAAATGTCACAGTAAATTGTTATAATGTTTCAAAAGATGCTGTTGAATTAATTCAAGTTTACTGAAAAAATAAATTTAAAAAAACAGCACAACGGTTTTCAACATTTATAATAATAAGAAATTATTCTTGAGCTCCAAATCAGCATATCAGAATAATTCCTAATGGATCATGTGACACTGAAGTTGGAGTAATGGCTACTGAAAATTTAAAATTCCTCTTTTTCATCAAAGAAATAAATTACATTTTAAAATGTATTAATCAATATTAAATATATTTTGTTTTTACTGCTAAAACATAAAACATAAAACATAATTTGGCCCAAAAGTGTACGACTACTAATTCTAATTGGATGTTATAAATTTTTTTAATTCAAATTATATTATATTATTAACTTTTTGGTTAAAAATTATAATTTTTAAAAAATGCTTTTTTTTTTTTTTTTACGTATATCCAGGTTTAAATTAGAATTTTTCATGTGTCCCATACTTTTAAAGGTAAGATTTCACAAATTTCTTAGAGCACTTTCAACAAACACAAAATGTAATGATCAAATTTAATCTCATAATCAAAGTTCGCCAAGACCTCACAAACAGCTTTTTACAACTTATTAAAGTTGTAAAAGCAACTTTTTTTTAATCTAGATCCCATTACCAGGTAAAACTCTGCAACATTTGAATACTAAACCCTATATCACAAAGGCAAGCAATCATCAGACTATCAGACTCAAGGTTTACGAGTCCCTCAGCCTTCGGTGAGTGATCTTGGGCATATTAACTAGCAGTAACTACATTCCTTCGCAATTCCACGACTCCAGCCTTGAGGAGCCTACACTGGCCGGTTACGAACTCTGTGGTGGCGATGAGCTGCTCTACACACCTGAGAGGCCGTCGTCTTGAGTTTCTGAAGGCCACACTGAAGCCTGCCGTGTCTCAGATGCAGTTCCCTCTCTCTCTTTCCCAGCAGACTCTCGTAAAGCCTCAGCTGCTCCAGGAAGCTCTTGGGCGTGCTGTAGTTGTGCCTCCTCTCATTGCGGCAGTAACGCTCGCTAACCCGCTTGACACTCGCATGAGCGTGGGCCATGAAAAGACTGATGGATTCCCAAACGGCCGGCTGTAAAGACGAGAGTAAGAGAGGGTAAGAGAGGGACCTGTTCGGATTAAATGCTCTTTAACATCCTCGGCTGTCACGGACCCTGAAATATGATCTTCATAAATCCTGAATTCATCTCCAAGTTTGTATGCCTTTTTCTGGCTTCTGGACTTACTCAATCTGAAATTTAGGTGCAGGGCGCCGGGGGGAAGATTAAGCAGGTAGAGGGCTGGGAAAATAATGGCCGAGGTTGGTGACACCCTGTATAAAGTAGGGCGAGTGTTTAGGTCACATGGCTTCTAACTTTCTGAGACTGCACGTTGTGTTTTGTTTATTGGTTATTTATGATGTACACTGCTGTCTGATGACTGACTCATTTATCAGACTGTTAAAGATCAATTCACGCAAAGGCAAATTCATTTTAAAAGATGCAAGAACACAGATCATAATTCACTGAAAAGCAATAAAACATGTACATGTGGCTGGCACAAAAAAAGAAAAAAAGAGATGGTTATAAATGAAGATCTGACATAATGCTATTTGATAAACAATGTATTGAGTTAAATGCATGTAAATAATCCATCAATCTCTTAAACTCAAAGGTCACGGTTACCTGTGTCAGAAAAAAGGTAATATTTTGTTTCTGCTGTTCTGCTTTTTACACTTATAAACACATTTAGATAAAAAATCTTGCACAAAGGTGGGATTTGATCATTAATCTAATCCAAGAGCAAATGCATAAGAGATTTAGAAATATAGTCATTTAAAATATAAAAATAGTTAGAATGGCTTTAAGAACCGTTTCTTCCAACATACATTTAAAAGTTTTGGAGTAGCAATTCAAAAGGGTGGCTAAAGTGAATGTGTTAAGAAATGCAAAGAATCATATACAATTTTTCTCAGCACTTTTAGTGCATTCATTTATTTTGACATTATAACTGCTATATTCTGTTCTGTGTGATAAAAAACACTGATTAAACCTCTTGGAACTGGTAGAAAAGTCCCTAGTGTATCACTCATTGGTAACACTTTACAATAAGGTTCCATTAGTTAATGTTAATGTATTAACTATCATGAACAAACAATGAACAATACAGTATTTATTCATCTTTGTTAATGTTAGTTAATGAAAATACAGTGGTTCATTGTTAGTTCATGTTAATTCACAGAGCATTAACTAATGTTAACAAGCACAACTTTTGATTTTAATAATGCATTAGTAAATGTTGGAATTAACGTTAGCTAAGATTAATAAATGCTGTAGATGTATTGTTCATGCTTAGTTCATGTTAACTAAAGTAGTTAACTAATGTTAACTAATGAACCTTATTGTAAAGTGTTACCCACTCATTTATGAGTAAATGGGTAATTTTATAAAAAAAAATAAACCTAGTCAAATGTTTACTAAAAGTAAAGTAATTTGCATTGTTTGTATATAGAAATTTAATTGACAGCAAAGCTCATCATGTGAAATATCACCCATGAGCAAAACTTTATTCATTCAAATTCAATACCAGGGAAGAACTGCAGGCCATCAGCAAAAGCATTTTAACACATGTGAAATTAATTGTATTATTATTATTATTATTATTATTACTTTATGTGTGTGTGTGTGTGTATATATATATATATATATATATATATAATATTTGTGA